GTGTTCTTGCAAACCTTGATCCTTCTCATTAATTCAAATTGCACTATTTCGTAGTATGTAAGAGAGTAGCTAAAAAACTTTCTTTTTTAGAGACATGGTACTTTAAATTGTCCTTTGTCCTTTGCTTTATAAAACAAAATGAGATCTAAGAAACTATAGACTACTGTGGAACTACTTAAAAAAAAAATACAGAAAGCAACGTGTCAGATTCATTTTCCAGAAAATAAAAATGCATTATTGGAAAGCATTACTATGTCTATATGTCTATATGTCTATATGTCTATATGTCTATATGCCTATATGCCTATATGTCTATATGCCTATATGTCTATATGCCTATATGTCTATATGTCTATATGTCTCATCAGTATTTTTAATCAAACATCATAAAAGATGAAATGAAAACAACCCATGTTTATGGGTATGGGAAGTCAGCTTCTGCCAACCGAGCTTCATGAAATAATCCTTAAGGAACAAGCAGCACTCGGACTCTACGCACCTGCAGGCTGACAGAAGGGTGGCGAGGGACACACCAGAGATCAAAAATCTAAGATTTTTTTCTAGTACAGGGATACCTCTGACATTTGAAGCTACAAATTTTATAGCAGTTAATTAGTGGTAACAGCGTTACCTAGTGGTCACAGAAAAATGCTATCAAGAAAAACTTCACTATAATAATTTAAAATATTGACAAACATACCTTTATTTGCTGTATATGAAAAGAAAAGGATCCACAGGATATACGGTGCAGCACTTGGGAGTCTTGCCATTATTGAAAATGGTCAGCTTCAGTAGGAAAAACTGTGCTGCAATTCTGCCAACAGAAAATATGATAAGCTTACATCCCTGTCTCAGTTAAGGGTAAAGGCATAGTTTTTCCTATCACTCTGCTAGATGTTAGAATTCAGACTCCCTGCTGTACCTATTTCCCACCCCTGGCCCCTAAAATTAGCTCATGGAATGAGACATGTAAAAGAATAAGGAGAACATAAATGAGCTAGAAGACTTTTCTGCAAAATTTTCATTATGGAGGATAAGGGAGTTCCATTGGCCGCAGAGCCACTCTCTTTAGCTACTAGAAAAGAATGGCTGCTAGTATGTAAAGGGTAAAAAAAGGCAAGCACTAGACCAAAATCAGTGACATTGTCAGCAAAGCCCTATGATTCCACTCAGATAAGTATAAGAATTTAAGAATGAAGTGTCCAATCTACTGACTAAAATGTTTTCTCCAAGTCCAATCACCAGTACCTCAATAATCTGAGTATCATCTCTTTAAAAAAAGAATTTTAGCAAAGAACACTGAGCATTGCTCCAAAAGAATACAGATTCATTAAAACATTCATTATTAAAAAGTTGTAAAACAAATACCTAGTCATTATGTAACCAGAACAACCTTGGAGAAGGAAAATAATGCAGCTTTTATGTCCCTAAGCATAGCAAAACTGTCTAGGTAAATTGAAAACAGATGAAATAATTAATTTCAGACTTCAAAATAGCAAGTGTCCCCAATATATTTTACCAATGTAGCTACTTAATGTCTAAGATAAAGCTACCAGCTTTCATATAACTACAAATGGATATCATGCATTTAAAATTCTGGTAAATTTGTAAGTGAAGTCATGCTAACTAATATGCTTTTGGCTTTGCTTTCAGTGTAAGGAGGGATAATATTGGTTCAGCAGGACATTGTTAAGTCACAACCCTTTGGTCCCTTCCTCTCATGCTTTTGGAATTTTCTGACTTTCATATCTGGACAGGGTGTTCTTGCTGCCTGAAGCTTCAGCTGTTCTGTATATACCTGTAGGGCTCCTGGGTAGTGAGCTAGTTTTTATTTCAAAGGGAGAAGAGGGGAGGGGAGGGGAGAGGGAGAGGAGAGGGAGAGGAATCTCCTTCTCTTGGTGAATCGTATTGGGTGTTCTGCATAAGGCTGGCCAGATTCTGAAGTAGAAAAGACTAGTGTAAGGTATTTGTGGATGGTGGTTCAATACTCTCTTCCCCAAACCAACCATGCAGCAGAACCACAACACATGTGTCTGACAGAGGTGAGTCTGTCTGTCTGAAAATATCCATCTTAGAAGTTAAGGGATAAGGACATTGTTAGTCAAAATAGAAGATCAGGATGGAGACTCTTCTGTGACCTTCTCTAGGGCAGTAACTGCTCATCGAGTAGTTCTTTATTAAGAACAAACTTGAAACACAAATTTCTCATAAGAGCTTGAGAAAACTATGACTCAAAAGTTAAGTTTTTTTCATATTCTGAGAATAGGTGAAATGTGACTAAGCACAGTAATACATTTTTTTAAAAAGAACACAAGCACCTTGGCTGCTACTCAGACAAAAAGAGCCAACTGCTCTGGCATAAAAAAATTAAAAACCCTAATTTCCCTTTTTCCTGGAATTCTCAAGAGAGGAAGCATTTGCTTTCCACTGTTAGGTAATACTGCCACATGACTGGAGTTCCAAGAAACTCTTGGAACTTTGGCAAAGAATCCTGAACCATGTATGCATGTCCAAACGAGCAGATGGCAGACCAAAAGCATCTTCTCATGGAAGAATGGATCTGCACGTGTGGATGAAAATGGAGTTAAGCCAGTGCTTTAATGAAACTGCAAGAGAGAAAAATTTAAAACATCCACAGCTCTTCTGCCTGTTACCTCTTAAGTTTTTCATTATACCAGACAATGAAATACCAATCTTAAAAAAGTAGGTAACACATACAGACAATACTAAAATTGCAGCAAATCTAGTAACTCTGATATATTTGAGGAAAGTAACTTGCAAAGACATAAGTCACTTCCCCAAAATTAGGAAAGAAATCTCTGTCAGAGTTAGAAGCAGATCTACAAGGTTACTGGCATAAGCTACATGCTTTAATCACTTAACTTTCTGTTTCTTGAAAAAAACGCGATGTGATTAGAATTATTTCATTCACTATCAAGAAAAACGATACTAACTTTTGATCTGGTCTTCTAAGAAAATCAGGGTCACATTTCATTAACAGGTATAATCTGCAAAACTGTTATGTGTAAAGAGTAACTCCTGCCCAGACCAAGAGGTCATATTAAACAAGACTGCCTAACGCACCGTTGCTGCAATTGTACAGCTAAAGCATCATTCCCTGTTTAAAACTGCCTCTTTTTAAAACTGATGCACATCTTGTCTTACTCTCTAGTTTTAAGCATTACTATAAAGGCTGAATAAAATGAGACAAGCGGTACAGAGCAAAGCAAAATGTTCACCAACAGATTCTACATCAAACCTTGAAAAAAAAACGCGTGCAGCGTGCAATGCCTTCTAACGAGAAACCTCTCCTTTCCGGGCGCTCAGCACGGTCCGCAGCTCGTAGGCCTCCGGGCACACGGGGGGCGCAGCCTGAGCCCTGGGCTGGGCACGGCCGGGAACGGCGCCGATCGGGAACGCGGGCCGGGGACAGGCGCGGCTGCTGCGCCTACCGCGCAGCACGTCCAGCAGGAACAACACTTCGGAGAATTACACCTTTCTGTGTAAAATATTGTAAAAGGAGCACTCGCACTTAACAGCCTCCAGGAAAGAGAAGCGATTCCAGCCGGAGCCGGGACGGGCCCAGGGCTATGCGCCCGGCCAAGCCCCGGAGACCTTCCGCCCTTCCCAGAACCGGCTCGGAGAAAAACACAGCACAAACTGCACGCCAAGCGCAAGTAACGAGAAGGAATCGGTCCTGACGCCAGGACGAAGAGGCCGCCGGAC